AGAGAGAGAGAGAGAGAGAGAGAGAGAGAGAGAGAGAGAGAGATTAATTTAGATCTATATAGAGAGAGGTATATTTATACAGGGTGTCCCAAAAGTCTTAGTACAGTTTTAAGCTTTAAATACCTTAAAGTCTCTCCAGTCTCTCCTCTCTCCAATCCATCTAACTCACAAGTATCAAAACAATCTTCCTAAATCACATGTCTGACCTCCCTTGCTCAAAAATCTTCAGTGGCTCCCAATTGCCTCTAGGATAAAATACAAGTTTTAAGCTTGAAGAGTTTAAAACTGAACTAGGATTTCTGGGACACCCTGTAAGTGTTCCATCATTTACAAAGACCTTTCCTCACATTCATCCTGTGACATAGTAAAAATATTATTTATAGATGAGAAAAGTGAAGCTCAGAGAAATAAAGTTAATTGCTTATTCTCAGGTATGGAAAAATATCAAAACTGGGGATCAAACCTAAGTGTTCTCACTCTAAATCCAGTGCCCTTTCTAATATGCTAGATTAATAAGTAGATAATATGCATGTATGTATGTGTATATACAATAGATACGAGTGGATACACACACACACAAACATAGGTACATATATATGCACACATATATATGCATCTGCATACACACACATACATGACCTTTCCCCCAAACCTATAGATAAACTCCAGATTTACCTACATTGGTAAATCTGCCTTGAGATAACTCTCTCTTCCTCACTACCCTATCTTATACTTGGGAGTTTCCCTCCAACAAGCTTCTCCTTGCTCATGAAACTTCCTTCTCTGACAAGATTGAGACAAAGGCAAGTAGAGTGCTTTTAAATTATTTGTGCTATGACTACATTCTATTACAAGGCAAAGGAACTTGCCTAGCTCTAATTTAAGTGCAAAAAAGAAAGATGGACTTTAAAGAATCTATGGGAAATCACCAGTCTCAGTGGATCTCAGCCCAATCACCTTCTGCCATAGTATAAATCAATTCACATGAGGGATGTTCATTCAGTAAAACTCATCTAATCAGAATTAGGTACACAGATTTCATCATTTAAGTTTGAAAATTACTTTGAGTGACTTACCGCAGTACACATTTTGTATCCAACGCCAAAATCAAAGCGACATTGTTCATCCATAGAATAATTGATTCCTGGTAGTTCTGGGAGTTTGGGCCAATTGTGTTCAAAAGGGTCATCAAGAAGACAGTCATAGGAACTGTGAGAAGGTAAATAGTGGATATAGTTAAGTTTTTGGACATGTTTCTCTGAAGATAATAACCATAATGAAAAGAAGAGATGGAGACATAGGAGGAGGAAGGAGAAAAAGAAAATGAGGAGAAGAAAGGATGAGGTTGAGTTCATATGGCTATCTTCCCCAAGGGGCCTTTTAATTCTGCTTCTGTATCATAATTATATCATAGGCTCCATCTACATGTAAATCATTTTTGGTTGTACTCAACAAATTTAATGGCATGTAGCTAATGTCAGCCTTTTACTATTACTTGATGGAGTTGACATCTGCTGATTCCAAAAGTATTTCTGTACATTTTCAACCTCCTTATCATGTATTCTGAGAATATGTTATCAATTTGCTTCCTCCTTTTTTACTAGAAAGTATTCTTTCCATAGCTGCATTAGGGTGATAAGCCCTATGTTTCATTAACATTGTATGGGCTGCTGTTAGGATACTTTCCAAATCTGTTACAATCCATTTTACAAATCTGAAATTGCATGTTAAGATTAGCATTGCATAAGCACTGGTTGCTTTCAACATATTCTTGACACTGCATTTTGCTTTCAGGAGGCTGGTAAATCTTTGGATATATCTAGTAACATATTTCTTCTTGATCCCTTCATGTATCTTGCCTGGAGGAATACAAGATATTAATTCAAACCCATTGCTTCAATTTGACGTCTGGATTCAAGCTCAGAATCTTCTGTCTCTATCTTTCCTTGGTGTGCATGAAGAATTTCATACTCATCTAGGCCAAATGATATTTTGTTATCATGAGGGCAAAATTCCATGAGATGAAGAAGGCTTTTAACGTTCTCCTCAAGGAGTATGGATTTACTGAACTAGGGAGATTATGCAAGGAAATGACAGAATATGCATAACACACATCACTGAAGGCTGCAGAAATTTAGCACCAATCAAACACAAAAGACAAAGTATGACTTGGTGGCTAAGACTATAGATCAGAAACTCTTTGCCTTTCAAAAACTAACAAATGATAAATCTTTGCCCCACAGACACAGTGTTCAAAATACCCTTCAGGATCAAATAACTGAAGTATGTGATAACTAAACCATTATCACAGAAAGAGCTGTTGCCCACAAAAACACCAACATAACACTGATTCACAAAAACTCAAGGACACCATTTGGATAGATGTAGCCTTACAAGAATATTCATTACTTCCAAACTACACAAAATGACACAGCTTCCTAAGTTATAGAAGCCAAGGAGAGAAATTAAAATCACATTGAAGCAACATGAAACACAAATCACTCCTGTCATCTCATCTCATACTAAAGTTATCCCAAAGATACTTTTGATGAACTTACAGAAAATCAATTTACAGCCCAATAATTATATTGAATTTTAAAAAGCAATTATTTTACTTGGCTGTTCAATATTAAATATATTTAACTGGTAAATATAATTTAATATATTATCATTAAATATTATTTACTTATTATAAACTATTACATATAATTAGTTATTATATTACTAAATCAAAGTAAATGAATTAAATTATTTTAAATAAACTGTAAAGTTATTAAACTTATAGCTAATTTCTTAACTTATTAAATCAGTATTAATTTTAATGTTAAATATGATATTGATTATATTTTTAATTTAATAAATATCCATTAATAATATATCAATATATCAAATATATTAATATAGCATATCACATGTTATACAGTTTTTATAGTATATATTATGTTAATATTAATCATATTCATCATAATTGGTATTAATGTTTTATATTAATATAATATATTTTGTTGACTACATAATAAACATAATATTAATTATAATACCAAAAGATCAAATATAATAATAATTACTATTTATATAGAACTTCAGGGTTTACAGGCACTTTACAAATATTATCTCACTTTATATTCATAATAATAGCACCTACTTTCCGGGCTTTTTATCATCCCCATTTTACAGAAGAGGAAACTGAAGCAGACAGAGATAAGTGCCTAGCCTAGAGCCACACAGCTGGTAACTATCTGAGGCTGAATTCAAACTCAGGTCTTCCTGCATCCGGTCCCAGTGCTCTGTGCACTATGGCACCACCTAGCAGGATAGTGACTTGACTGAGCACCATTTCTACCTGGATTCTATCCAAGAAGACAAGAAAAGTAAGATGGGTGACAATAAGGATAATAAAAGCAGCTCATATTCATGTAGCACTTTTAGGATCACAGAGATCTTTCCCTACAACCCCCTCGCGAGATGCATAGTGTAAATAACGTGACCATCAGTTTATGAACGACACAGCTGAGGTTCAGAAAGGTTAATGGACTTGGGGGTGCCCATACCCATAGTAAATGTTGGGGTTAGGCCATGAATCCAAAACTATCAAAGAAGCAAAAGACCTAGGTCCAGATCCTGGCCCTGACGCCAAATGTATGCCCTTGGGTAAATCCCAGCTTGTTTGGGATGCAGTTTATCTTCTTTAAAATGAGAGAGTTTGATTAGATGGTCTCCAAGGTGCCTTCTAGCCCTAACTCTGCAATCCTGTGGTCTCTCTGGGCCTCCGTTTCTCATCTGTAAAGTGAGGGGGTTTAGCTAGATGACTGTTTCACTTTGATATTTGTCGTCAGCACCGAGCACAGTGGCTGGCACCTAGTGGCTCTTAATAAATGATTGGTATTTGATTGATAGATGGATTTCTTTTACTATCTCTTCCAGTCCAAAATCTATGATCTTTTGGAATTATCTATTTTGAATGCCTAGGCTTATACTTTGTAATGTATGTCTTCATATGACCAAGGATAGATGTGGACAGCTTACGTCTCTCTTTTCAAGTTACAGTGTTGTAGTACTCTCTACATATGCCCATGGGGTTCTTACTGTATGTATCTTTTCAATTCCTGGCCACTGCACCGGGACCAGTGATAGCGATGAAATGCTGCTTGTACCAATGGAGCCATAACACTTCCCATGGCTGTCTCATCACCACACCTGTTTCCTTGACCATCATGCTCCATTCCTAACCTAGAAAGATCAAGACAAGATAAGATCAGAAGAAACCAAAGTTATGCTGATGAATGTGGGAACTGGCTTGATAACTTCAAATTTGTTTAATACTTGTTCATGCAAAGAAGACCTGTGCCAATTATTCCAAACTAAACCAAAAACAATATCAATGAGAACCTTTATGCCTGTTGGAAGGAAAGTTGGCATTCTTTGAGAAACCACATTTACTAAGGCATAGAGTATAATGAGATGAGACAACTTCTTATATCATAGTATTGCTTCACAGCAATACTCGAGCCCAGTATGCATATCCCAATGGGGAGTCACTTGTTCAGTTTCAGTATATGACCCCTTCCCCGGTTTATACACATGAACAGTGGGAGAGGAATCAAAGTGGCGCCTGGGAGATCTGACATGCCTCTTTCCAAAGTACAAAAACAATTGGAAGAAGTAGGAACAAAAAAAAAAGTTGTTTATGTTTTTCTGTCCCTTAGTGATAAAGAGTGACTTACACATGGCCAGTTTCATGGGCCACTACAAAGGCTGATGAAAAACCATCCTCATGATTTAAGGTACAGCTTCTTACTGGATGACACATTCCTGTGACTGGTGCATACCCTGTAAAGAAGAACAATTTTTTTAAAAAAATGTTCATTTCATCTGAAAACCCATAAGGGATTGCTGCTAGATCCCCCCTACCAAATAATCTTCTGTGAAACAAGGACAGCCACCTGTCCTTGGTAAAGCCATGTCCTACAAAGGAGTAATCATTTGAATCTGTCCTTTCTTTTGGATGAAGATACCTGAGCTCCATTATGGACGCTTTGCATGGCCTGGTCATTGCTGAACCTCTTCATTGGCCACACAGGTCACAGATCACAGATTTAGAGCTCGATATGGTCTTGGAGGTCATTTAATCAAACTCCCTCACTTTACAGGTGAGGGAAGGGTAGTCAAGGATGATAAATGACTTGTACGACTTTGATACCATCTTTTTTAATTCCACAAAAACTAATAAGGAAGTTAGAAGTATGGAATCTGTTTTTTCCCCAATGCCTATGTTAGAATTCATCACAAGTAGGTAAGACAAGTAGAAGTCATCTTCTTATGCTGGCCCTAATTTTTAGTATTACTAGTTTGTACAATTCATGATGGATTTTGTGGGTCATTTCCCCCAAAATCTATAGCAGTGGTCATTTAAGAAAAGTTTGATTTTTACTGGTATCATTTAGTCTGGATTTTTTATCTGATTGGCATAGGGAATTCCTGGTGAGGAAATTTCCTTCTTCCAACACAGTTTGGTAACTATTCTGTAACTGAATATACAACAAAGTTGCCTTGGAACACTGAGAGGTGTCTTGTCTCAGTTTACGTAGCCAGTATGTGTCTGATACAGGACATAACCTACCTTTTTCTGACTCCAAGGCTGGTTCTCTATCCTCAATGCCTGTATGTCTCTCTTTGACTTATTAAGACAGTTTAAAAGTAATGAATACTAGGAAGGATTCTTGTCTTTGCAACACTCCAAAGAAGTCAATGGAGGATGTTAGAAAGTAAAGAAAGACCTGAATAATATAAAGCTACTTGCACTGAGCTGGCTGGAACAATTGACAACATTGTCTGATTCGGGGGTTACACGAGAATTTCCTCTTACGTGACAGCATCATTACCTTGCATGCCAGCAGGGCCAAAGTCTTGCCTCGTTAGAAAAATGGCATGATCGTGGTGTTCAGGATGATTGGGATCTGACTTCTGCTGCTGACATGCCCAGCGGCATACATTCTCCAGACTCCGGGATGGATTTCCTCTCTCTATGAGGCTGATAGACTGAACAATCACAACCAATTAAACATGGATGTGCCAGATTTTCCCAAAGCCTACATTCTGCACCTTTATTATACACTAAAACTTTGGGCTTCTAATTCTTAGTCAATTACCTTTATAACCTAATGAACAGTGAAAACAATGAGTGAGCTTCTGCAAGCATTTCAGAAGCATGCCATTCATCTCTCGAAAGAGAGAGGATGGACTCAAGGTGCATAACAACATAGAAACTGTTGACACTTTACTTAACTGAATATTTGTTACAAGGGTTTTGTTATTTTTTTCCAGTGTGTGGGAAGGTGGGAGGGAGAGTGACTAAAATTTTGCTTATTAGAAAAATATATTTTTTAAATGTCTACTTGCAGGGCATACCATGAGATAATGGGGAGAAGAGGGAGCTAGATGTAGTTTCTACTTCCTAGCTGTGTATTTTCTGACCATCAGAATGGTAGATGAAAAGTTGCCATTGCTTGGAATGTCTGAGTCAAATAAAACAAGCATTTATTATTAAGTGCCCACCATGTGGTAAGCCCTATCTGAATGAGAGGATCTTCTGTCGTACAACATTCTAACATTGGTCCTCTGGGGTTAAGTGAGGAAGTAGTTAAAATGTTTCTTAGATTGGCTTCTGTGTTTCAACAAATGTTATTATCAGTGTTTACATTCTTAATAAAACAACCAGGGATAGTTTTATGCAGAACACATACATCCCCTAATAAATGATGGAACTACTAAATCCCTGGTCCTTAAGGATACCAGCTAGAATCTGCTTACATTCTCTGTGATTGAGATAAGGTAGGTTAGGCTACTGGGACTAAACCAAGACTCAGTGACATACTATCTCACCAGAAGGAGATAAAAGGATATTAAACAAGGGATGAAACGCTAACACAATAGCCTTTGTCTCTCTTTCCTAAATGAACAAGCTCATTAGTATTTCAAATGTGGCAAGAGGAAAACTGAAAGAAAAAAAATCCCATACTTAAATATCATGGCAATTATGAAATTCCAAAGGAAAAAAAAACACATCTAAATGGAAAAATTATCCAAAATTCTTTCCACAAAAGAAAGGCTATTTCTGTAAAATATTATATGTGGGTAAAACAGGTCTAACTGGTGTAATTTAGTGATTAAACAGTTTCTCTTTAATGGGATCATGTTTATTCAGTCAACAAATATTTATTGAGCAAGGCATCATACAAAGATGTACAAGACACTTCTCCTATACTTAGAAGTTTAGGCATATGTAGAAAATTAAAATCTTTATATTTTTGCCTGCCTGAGACTTCTCTGCTCATTTCAAGAATCTGTTTACTGGAAAACAATCATCATTTTCATAGGCTAAAATCATAGGTTAATTTCCTGCCTGTATTAAAAGAGATAAACCAATGCTTGTCTGGCTGAGGTACAGGAGTTTTCCTTTCTCACACAGACAATTCCTTTTCTTCAGCTCAGAGCAATCTCCTCCATTATTATTTGGAGTTGAAGGAATTGAGTGTCCAAGATTCCCCAAATGACTCCATCTGGCCCTCTGAACAAAATTCCACATGGGGCATCAGAGACCATTCTTACCTTGGTATAACCCAGCATTATCATGCGTACCAGCACAACATTAATATGTACCCCAAGTGACTCATCATGGTAAATTTCATTCACCTAGAAACAAAACAGGCAAGCTTTCAAAGAAAGGCATCACAAAAGGATAGGACAAGACAAGATAATAATTCACCTGTCACTCATAGCAACCCTGCGTGGATGCAGCCAGATCAAAGTAGCAAGCTTCTTAGCATCTTGCAATCATTTTGAACATAGAGGTGAAGCCCTCTTTGTGGAATGAAGGAGAGGAAGGGAAATGTGCTCATGTGGAAGAATCACAATTTTTACTGGTTATGTTTTGTTTAATTTTAAAAGTCAGGTGGAAATTTGTAAATGGCAATTAGGGGACACCTTATAATTATAGAATTTTGGTAACAGAAGGGACTGTGGAGATCTTGAATCCAAGCCAGGTCCCACATTTTCCTGGTAAATAAAGTAAGATTTCCAAAGGGTAAATGACTTCCCTAAACTCACACACTTACTGGTAGAAACAGGACCGGTGTGTTTAAAGATCTGTGTTCAATTCAACCACCATTCACTGGCCAAATGTATTAAGACAAAAATAAATTTCTCTCTGGATGAAGATGGGAGTGTTCCTTTCTCATTTGGACCCACTATATGCAAGGCAAGAGGGCAAAGTGATGAGGAAGTCATAGAAAAACAACTGAAATTTTTTTACAATGCTGGAAGGAAAGGCAAATCACACTACAGGCGTGACTTCCTTTGATTTTCACCACTGTGGACCCCAGCTTTTCTCATCTCCTACACACAGGGGAAAAGCCTAGGGCTTCCAGAGAGTGAATCTTCAGTGATCAGATAGCTAGTTAGTATCAAATGGAGAGATTCATGTACAAGTTTCCTCTCTTGCCACTATAGAAAGCTAACCCCAGAAGAAATAAGATACAAATTCAAGGGCAGCAAGATGTCCCAGTGGATAGAGTACAGGGCCTGGAGTCAGGATGACTCATCTTCATGAGTTCAAATCTGGCCTCAGACACTTACTAGCTGTGTGACCCTGGGCAAGTCATTAATCCTCTTTGCCTAAGTGCCTCATCTGATAAACAAGCTGGAGAAGGAAATGGCAAACCACTCCAATATCTTTGCCAAGAAAACAAAAAAAAATGGAGTCACAAAGAATCGACCATGACTGAAATGACTCAATAACATTCCATGCCCCTGTTTCCTGATAACAAAGACTCGTTATTAAAAATAAAATAAATATTAATAAGTTTATACACATGTGTACCTCATGCACATCCTAGGGGTGATATTCCCAGAAATAACAAATTTTGGAAACAAAATAAGTCCTTAAATCAGCAATTTAGCTATGTAACTCTGTGTAGCTCTGTTAACTTTGCCAGGAGCTACGAACGTTACATTATTGGAATGCTAACCAATTATGTGCAATGGCATCTTCCAGAGTTGAAATATTCACTATGGATTTTTTAAATCCTACTAACCTTAATATTTCTTAAGCAAAAATTTAGGAATTCATAATAATGAATAAAGAGTACGAAGACTGTTAGAAGTATTTTTAGAAAGATAAAGTAAATCATTCGGCTCATTGCCAGAAATAGTTTAAATTACTGTCATATTGGCTTATAAGAATATAAACTCTGCAATTATTATTATCTCTTTTTGAAAGAAAATCTCTGAAGCTTTTAGTATAATCCCATCACAGAAAAAAATGATATACTTGTAAAAAATTTTACACTTTTATTGATATTTTGTTTTTACATTGCAAATATTTACAAATTACCCCTACTTTGTGAGAAGTCTCTTGTAACAAAGTAAAACAGTTAAGTAATATTAATGATTCAGTGACCTCATCTGAAAGTGCATGCAGCATTTCATATCTGTAGTACCCTTCCCATCTCTCTATTTTATTTAAATAAAACCATCTTTCACCCCATTAGAAAAGAGAGAGAGAGAGAGAGAAGACAAGAAGCAAATTTCTTGAAACAAATATGCAAACAAGAAACAGGAAAACCATTCTGAACTCAGATAACATAGAAGGAAATCAAAAGGGATGGGAAAAGGGTGGGGGAGGGGCAGCTCAACCCTTTGAAAAGAAACCTTAAGCCAATCAACAGTCTGAACATGGAGTGTTGCAAACCAGTATGAGTTCTAATAATTGGGGGCCTGAGCCTTGATACAACCTCACCACTACCACCTATAGATTCCTGAAAGGAGAGGCAGGACCCAGAAATGCACTGTATAGAAATCTGGGAATCACAGCTGGATTTAAGGCTAACTCTGAGCTTCGGTAACACTCTTGGAGTTGAAGTGTGGAATTGTGTAGGGGGCCCAGATCAGTATATTCTCTCTAGAAATTACTCGAATAAGAATATACATATTTCTCAGCTTTGCATGGTACCTTTACAAAATATAGTAGGGCATAAAAGTCTCACAAATAATTTCAGAAAATCAAAAATAGTAAACATATCCTTTATTGATCACAATTTAATAAAAATTATAATCCATAAATGGCATTGGAAGAAACATTCAAACTTAAATAGAGACATTAATTTAGACATTAAAAATTTGTAGGTCAAAGAACAAATTATACAAAAAGTAGTTAATTTCATTTTTAAAATAAAAAAATGAAATAGCATACTAAAATTCTTGTGAAGTAGCCAAAGATGTCCTTGAGGGAAAATTTATTTCTAAAAACTCTCATTAGCAACAGAGAGAGAAAACATATTAATGAATTGGGAATTTTATTAAAAAAAATAAAAATCACAAGTAAACACCAAAAATGAAGTCTTCGAAGAGATAGTAAATTGAAACTTCCCCTTCAAAAAAAACCCTTCATTATCGAATTAATAAATGGAAGTAGAAAGGATGTTTTTAGAGGATGAGGAAACTAACAAAATAGACAAATTTAGCTAATTTGACCAAAAAACAAATCCTGAATATCAAAAGTGAAAAAGAATTCACAACAAATGAAGAATAAAGAAAATTATTAGAATTATTTTGTCCAATTTTACGTTAAAAAACTGCTAACTTGAATGAAAAAGATGTATTAACAAAAATATAAAATACCTAAATTTCCAGTATGACAAATTAAGAATTTAAATAAGTCAACTTTAAAATAAGACCTTGACCAAGTCATATATTAACTCCCAACAGGGGGGATAAGAGGGTAGAGGTGGACAAGATTAGACAGATTGGAAAGGCAATTTTCTAAAATGCTTTTAAAAGAATTAACACCAATTTTATATACATTGTTTGCAAATATAGGAAAATATGGCACACAACTTTCCATGAAAAATATGTCCTGGTACTAAAATCAGGGAGAGGTAAATAAGAGAAAGAAAAGTATAGACTAATACCTACTGAATATCAATGCAAAAATATTAAATAAAATATTAGCAAAGAGTCTACAGACACATTTTTAAAAAGATTATCTGTTGAGATAAGATTGAATTTTACCATGAATAGTTGGTTCAAAATGAGGAAAATTATAAACATAATAGACCATGTAAATAACACACAGCAATAAATCAAATGATAATATTAGATATAGGAAAAATTTTTCTTTTTGTTGTGTTTTTACAAAATACAATATCCTTTTATGTCTAAACACTAGAAAACAGAAATAAATAGGTCTATACTTAATATGGTAAACCAGAGGTATCAAACACATAGCCCTGTGTATGGCTGAACTAGATCAAAATATAATTAGGAAATGTTTAACAAAATAAATAAAAATACAATGCAACATAAATTATGTTAACTTCTCCTACGAGGATTTTGTTTCTTTTTGAGTTTGACACCACTGTGGTATCTATTTTAAACTAAGAGTATCATGTGGAATAGGTAGCTAGGTGGCTCAGTGGATAGAGTGCCAGGTTAGAGTCAAGGAGACTCATCTTTCAGAGTTCATATCTAACCTCAAACACTTCCTAGCTGTGTAATCCTCAGCAAGTCACTTAATCCTACTTGCCTCAGTTTCCTCATCTGTAAAATGAGCTGGAGAAGGAAATGGTAAACCACTCCAGTCTCTTTGCTAAGAAAACCCCAAATGAGGTCACAAAGAGTCAGACAACTGAACAACAAACAAAATCATGTGTAATAGAAAAACACTAGACATTTTATCAATAAAATTACAGTTCAAGCAAAGATGTTCACTGTCACCATTATTTTTAACATGGTTCTGGAAATTTTAGTTATACAAATAAGATGAAAAAGACTAACAGAGTAAGTAAAAGCAAAGAAGAAATAAAATATTTTTCAGATGAGATGATAGATTACTTACTAAAAAATCAATAGAAATAATAAATTTAGTAATGTAGCAGGATATAAAATAGACTCACCAAAATCGCCAGTCTTTCTATGTGAACAAAACCCAGCCAATAGAGATAAAAGAAATTCCATTCATAATTACTATAGAATTTACATAATATATATCTAGAAATACAGATATCAAAATACACATCAGTTTTACAATGACAAAACACACTTTACAGAAATAAAAGGAATACTTAGATAACTGGAGAGGGATGAATTGTGCATGGTTGGGCCATGCCAATATAATAAAAATGATAATACTATCTAAGTTAACTTATATGTTATTAAATCTGTAAATACCAAACTACCAAAGGATTATTTTATTGAGTTAAAATTTATCACACACACACACACACACACACACACACACACACACACACACCCCAAAACAAAGATCAGAAATTTCTAAGGAAATAATTTTTTAAAAAGTCAAAGGAAAGTTGTCCAGCAGTACCAAATCTCAAATCATACTACAAAGCTTACAATATTAAAATAATTTGGTGCTGGTTTTGTTCTGGGTTAGACCTGATGAGATCAATCCTCTTGAAGTTGGGTTTGATATTGGAATGAAATGAGACATTTTTGGGTTAATCACATTTTTAAAAAGATTTACTCAGCTGTAGCTGATTTAACAAGGATAGGCAGTAAGGACCCTTTGAACTGAGTCAACTAAATACATGTTATCCATCTTGATCCGCCAGCTAAGTATTGGAGCACCTCCTCAAGACTGCTTTGTACTCACAGGGAAAGTGATATTAACAGCCTGA